ACAAACGAGATACTGTACGAAATTAGTTTATTTCTGCTGTTATCTGCATCAGACAGTGGAGGCAGCATCAAGAAGGACATCGAGTACCGATACGAAAAGCTGCTGATCAGATAAGAAAGCGAGATAAAAATAGAAGTTGCATAAATGATTTTTTTATAACTGAGGAAGTATAATATAATAAGCCTCGAGTCGAGGAATTTTTTACGCAATTTCTTAATTATATATATATATATATATACATATATTTTTTTTTAATTTTTACACAGCAAAGTTATTTCATTAGAAAGAAAGTGATTAGAGAACCAACCGCCGCTCCAATCATAAAACGATAAAGAAATCTAAACGCAACATCTTCACTGTTCATAAATCTTGCTGGAATAATCCTCCAAGCAACACGTCTGTTTGATGGAGTTTACCTTTCCGAAACGTAAGCCGAATGTACTCAGAGAAGGAGATGATATCCATTCGAGTGAAAGAAAACTAAATAGTCCTTGTCGCATGGACCCTTGAAATAGCGAATGATCTCGAACACGAGAAGCCTTCGTCACTCGTTCAACCATCGAAAATCCCCCGATAGCGACGAAGAGGAGTGTAACACACAAGACTGCAACGGGGAGCTTGCCATCGGGCAGAGAGACAGGCTACTCCAGCAGGCGAGCAAGTGCCAGTTGCTCAGCGGCAGTTGCCACGGCTAGACATACATTTGCGTCCTTTCATCGGGGCCCTCGTTCGCATGCGACTTACCCCCCCGGTCGCGGCTCTTTGAAAGGGGATTTCAAGATTTCGAAGTAAACCATTGTAACGCGACGTGACGAGAAGATAGCCCTGGAAAGGGAAAAGAGAAGAAAAAGGAAAGGAACGAAATCGTGGAAAAGGCTTTCAGAGGGGAAAGAAAAACGACAAATGAGAAAAAGAAACTAGAGATCATGAAAAGGAGAATGCCATGTGACCAGGGACAGTGAGCGCGTGTGAGTGGCGTGCGTGTTACGTGCGTGTCGGACCAGTGGCTTCGGTCCTTCGACCCTCGAGGACGTAGCACCAGCCGAGGACACAATGATGATCCCGATGATACAAACTACCATCCTCCTGTCCCTCTTCGTTCATCTCAATGCCTCTCCGAACACCATCACTATGGCCAAGGTGGGTAATTGAATGTCGCTCCATTTGTTAGTTTCAAAGAATTCAAAGAATTAAAAAATAAGAAAATAGAAAATTAATGGTGTAGACCGTTTTGTATTACGGACGAGGGTCGAGTTTTCGTAATACAAGTGGTTTTAATGAAAAAAAGAACGTACGATTAAGTATGATTTTTATTCTCTCATTAGCAGCAATACTTTACACCAATCGGCATGTAATTTGAAAGAATATATACAATTAGGGAATTTGATTTACGACATGTTTTGCAAGATAACAGTAACAGCGATGTATATTTAATGTGTATTGAGATAGTAACACTATTAATCTATGTTTAATTGACATTAATAGTAATGTTATTAATACACGTGCATTTAATATACATTAATAACAATGTTATCTTAATCCATCATTTTACGACACCCACACCGAAAGTAATCAACAGAGTTATATCCAGGAAATAAGATTCGTTTGTCATCTTGTCAGGTATAAGTTCCGTTGCTGTAAGAAGGAAGAAGATCAGAAAAATGCAAACGGAGTTTCTTCTTTTGAATCCAAACGTACATGATCTCGTAATCACTCCAATATAGTTTCGTGCAGGAGCGTGCAGGTGCAACTATTTACTAGAGGTGTTAGCCGGTTAAATGGTTCATTGTGTAGTTAAGAGGTATTCACTTGGCAATGGTTGGCTGTTGGTTAATTAGACACGGTTCGCCAGTGCGATAACTACAGATGAGAAGAGTCGTTTCGATTAACGAACCAATGGAACGTTTTTTTTTTTCTTTTTTATACTGGTCGCACGACAGAAAAATTATTAGCACTTGGCATGCGCGTTCCATGGCCTTTTAAGTATCCCGCCATACAATACACTTAGTCTTTTGTTTGTACCAAGCAAAGAAGAAAGGTAAATAGCGGTAATATCCAACACTCGATTAGAGATCCGACGTTATAATTTTTTTTTTTTTTTT